GGAATTCCTAACAGATAGCTGAAAGAATATATAAACTTATTGATGCCGCTGTGCGTTCTGACTTTAGCCCTTGAGCCACATCAGGTTCTTGTCCCACAAAACTATGAAAAAGAAATTTGCAGACATTTTAGATGAGTAATCAGAAACAAACCTTAAGAAAGTAAGAACAAGGTTATTTGAAGGAAGGAAGCAAGAACTTCCCAGTATGCCGTACTTGGGAGGGGCAAGGAAGGCCTGTCTAGGGATAATTAAACCTCCCCTCCATCCCCCCCATTCTAAAATCTCATCGTCCTTTTTTGTGATTGGCTCTTCCTCCTAGGGGCTATACTCCTCTGGGCAGAGGTGCCCATTTTCCCAGCTCCTATCTTAGTTGTTAACCACCCTGACCTAGGTCTTCTAAAATTTACTTTTACTGCCATCACTGGCCCTCCTGAATTTCTCAGCCTTATCTCAGGGGCCTCCCTTAAGTCTCCCAAGTCCCTGCTTTCACCCTGCCTGAAGCTGCATACTTAACCCTAACTTGCCCTGGGACTCAGTAGGAGTCAGTGCTCAGCCTCCCATGGCTAATGAGTGGAAGAGGCAGTATTGGAACTGCCTGTATTTCTCCAGCACAAGAGCTTTCTCTTGAGTATGTCCCCAAAGAAAAAGTAGGAGCCATTTTCCCTAGGATGTTGGGTGGGGAGGGAGAAGCCAAAAGATGCTGATCTGCTGAAGAAGCTGGGCACACCAGCTATGTGTGTGTGTGTGTTTGGTGCCAGGAGGTAGAGGTGTATGCTCAAGTCTAGTTACCTCTCAACAAGCACGGGCAATCATTGTAATGGCTAGAGCCAGGGTGAGCTCTTTCATGACCAGGCTGCTCTTGCAGGCAAAATGATGTTGAGAGCGAACACTCTGGGCAGTTAAAAACCTAAACTTTGAAATCAGACAGAATTTCATTATCAGGGTGATAATGCTTCTTACTAGTCCTTTTTAAGCTAGCTTTAATTGGATGCAGTTTCTCATTAGAAATGGCAATATTGAGGCTGAACTGATAGAAATTTGCAGCAATTAAATAATAAAATTCTGTGATTTCTCATTTCCTAGAACATAAGCACTGATCCAGATTAGTATTTATTAATTTTCTCTCTGGGTTGAAATCATGGATATTAAGAATGAATATTAATCTACTTTAAATATTACTACTTTTGCTTTTCTTTGAAATAGAATATATAATTTTCTGTTTTTTTAAGATTTACTTTTATTTATTTATGCATACAAGAACTGGGGTGTAGGCCAGAGGCAAGAACAGGAAGGTGCAAACTCTAAGCTAGTGGATGATGTTCTGAATGGATTCCACCCCCATGTTCATACTGAAGATAGAGAGCATGTTGCTGTAGATCTGTTGCCCCCTAACCCCAAAAGTTGGGTAGGATTTCCTAGATATCGAGAGTAGCCATTTCAATACTTGTCATCTTGGTATATGGAATGAAGGTCCGTCAAGATCCTGTGGGAGGGGGGTGGGGGTGGGGAGGGGTGGGATTGGGGTTAAAATAAGGGGGTTGCAATTGTATGGGGAATATAAAAATAAAATTTATTTTAAAAAATAAATAAATAAAAATAAAAGGAAAAGCTATGCTCTTTTCTTAAAAAAAAAAAAAAAAAAGATCCTGTGAGAACCAGTTTCATGAGAGACTATTACCATTACTTGAAGATTTAAGTTTTCCTAGTTATAGTGATCTCTGCAGAAATATTTTTTTAAATAGGAGAAACTTATCTTAAGGAAGGGCAAACAATGAAAGGCAATGTTCTGTCATATGAAGTCATTTCCTCATCATGTGAAACCCTCTCCTCTCTCTCTGGTGACTCAAGTTCCTTATTATAAGATATAAGCCCTTGCTGTCTTCCATTTACTTCAGAATATACTGCTGTATAATTCTGTCTACACATGCTATTCAATTTGGTGTTTTTCTCATACTAATTTGTCTGATGTTCATTTACTCATCTAGTCTCAGAACAACTCATGGTGGTAAGGGAACTTTCCCCTGTACCAAGATAGTTGTTGAAGGAGAGATATTAATAGATGTATTTTTTATGTACTTTATGTGACCGAACTGGAGGGAATTGGTAGCTGAGAGAGTGTGACAAGTATTCCTCCTCTCCCTGTGAGTCCCTGAACTGACTGCATCTCCTTGGTTAGTATCATGGGACTCTTGTGTGAGATATTAGATTTAGCTGAGAGATATCAGCTCCTGTCAAGTGATTTCTGGAAACCTGGGTGAGGAGGAAACCTGAATTCACAATTCACACAATTTTTCAACATGAGTTTTAAAACATGGCTCAGTGCCAGCCACTGCAGCATGAGTTTGATCCTCAGCAAGGGAGCTAACCCACATGGGCCCAGCAGACCTCTCCTGTCTCGCCTGCTGTTCCTCTCAGCAGTGTATTTCAGTTGATCCCCCTGTCCTGCTCCCCAGGCTGTCTCTGGTGAATCCTCTCACCCATACCTCTGGCATACACCCCAGTTCTTATATGCATAATGTATGATGTGCAAATATTTTCTCCATTCAAGTAGATGTCTTTTTGTATTAATGATAGATTCTTTCACTGTGCAGAAGACTTTTTTGATACATGTAGTCCCATTTATTTATATTCTGTTTCATGTCTACATCATTGGAGACAATTACACAAAGACTTCCCTAAGCAAATGGCATGGAGGGTTTTGTTTGTTTTCTTCTATGTATTTTGTGGTTTCAAAGATTGCCATCCAAGTCTTTAATTCATTTTGAGTTATCTTTTGTGTAAGGGGTGACATAGCTCTCTAGTTTCCTTCTTTAGCATGTGGCAGTTTAGTTTTCCCCAAATAATTTGTTGAAGAGACTTTCCTCTCTCTGCTGTTTATTCTTGACTCCTCTGTGCTGGATAAATTGTCCATACAAGTGTTGGTTCATTTCTGGTTGCTCGGTCCTATTCCATTGTTGCTGAAACAACTTACTTGCAGGGCAGGAAGGATGAGAAACATCTCACTGGCCAATAGATTGCTTTCACTCTTCACTTTTAGGAAGGTTAAACCGTAACTTTAGTAGACAGCAATGCAGAACGATTTTGTCTAATAGCCTGCTTTCCATGCAGTGAAGCCAACTGTTTCTAGCTGGCTGAACTGGGATAGATGCGTTTACAGAACTGCTTGTGCTTGAGCCATTGCAAGCAGCTTCAGGTGGGCAGTGCACTTGGCACATGACTCCTTTTCCTACCTGACAGAGGTGCTCAGTACCCTGTGCTTCTCTATCAGTGTATCATGTGCACAATTTCCATTCAGCACATCGTGTTCTGCACAGAGATATAATAGTCCAGGTGATTCTTTACATTATTGTATGATCCTTGTGGTTGTTCCTGATAAACACCTTCCAAGGCAATATTGGTGTTATTCCTCTGGACATCAAAAAGTAATGACGCTATTAACCAGCACCCGCTGTGAATTCTCTAGCTCAAATGCATGGTGATGTGCTCAAAGAAAGCTGTTTCATTTCTTCTCTGTAGGCAAGTTTTTTGTTCAATGAATTTATGAGAAAATTCTCTAAAAGAGGTACACTTTTTTTAACTAGATAGACAAACAACCTTCTTGTTGATACAGCAGAGAAAGTTTCTGAAGTAATCACATACGTTTCCTAGGATAGAAAATACAGTATCAGTCTTGCTCCAAGAAAAGGGAAGCCTGTTATACTGACTGGCTTTAGAATAAAGGAACTGGAAGAATAAGGACTAGCATTTTAAAGCTTCCATTCTTAGGAATATGAATGTTTGGATTATGATGTATCACACAGGTGGGGATAAACCTACCTGCTCTCAATATTTCTGCCATCTGCCACACCAAGCCAAAACATAAGACTGTCTATGGAAAAGAACTTCAATACAATCAGTGTGCAATACAGAGAAGACAATATAGTTTCCAAATCAAGCACCCAAAGTTACCCATCCCCTCATGGGAAAAAGTGCAGCCAAACAGGATTGGCCAAAGCAAGGCCCAAAAACCTGCCACAAGTCCCCAACACCTTTAGTCGGGGACCCATAGACAAGGGTCAGAAACTGACCAGACAAGTCTGGGAGGAAAAGAGAAAAATCACAATCGAGATAAAAGCTGCCATTGTCACTTTCCCTCAGGTCTCTCACCCAAATCCTTTCAGCCAGTCCAGGATGAAAAAGCAAGTGCAGCTTCTTCCCATGTCTCCAGGCTCCATGTGCCTCCTGCAGGCCTCCTCCCTCTACATCCTGCTTCCTTCCTATGACAGTCTCCTGCTGCAGGGGCAGGATGCACCACTGAGCAGGTTTCCTATGATCCCAGCAGACTGTAAAGGAGGAGTCCAGGAGCCCTCTGTGGTTGTCTCAGGCTTTTCTTAAGCTTTATATGCAGGAGTGTCAGGGCGCCAGGAGGCCAGGAGGCGTCCAAGACCCTGGCAAATCCTCACTCTGGGCTTCTCTCTCTCTTCTGGCTTGCTTTCTTTATTTTTTTTTTTGGGAGGGGGAGGCCTAGCTAATCACATTTTAATAAAGATAACTTTAGAAATCTTTGACAATGTTATGTTTTGCTAGGAAGTTGAGAATAAAAAAGCATGTTTGTTTCAAAATCCCAATGACATTTTTCAAGGAAATGGAACAATTATAAAATTTTATCTTTAGATCAGCCAGTTCTTCAGCTCTCTGTTGGGATTATTATTAATTTTTTTTTGTATGAGTTTTGTAATTTTTTTTTTTTTTTTTTACTGTTTTATTTCTTCTGGCTTTCTTTTTCCCCTTCTCTCTCCTGCCTCTCTACTGCCTCTGCTTCTCTTGGTGACTGTCTCAATACTCCTCCCATGGCCCACAGAAGTAAACAGGACAGCTTACAACAAACAATGTAACAACTGCAGGTGCCCCATCAGGTCAGGGCAATCCTAATAGTGGGAGGGCAGAAAAGCCTGAAAACCATTTACCCTCCCCCTCCCCAGCTGTTTCTCCTCCCTGCTCAGTCCACCCTCCCTGGATGGGGCAGGAAATCTGGTTGGTGCCTCCCCTTTTCCTGGGGACGGCCCTGTTAGAGTTTCAGTTACATTTCACTCCACTCTTCTCTGTGGCAGTCAGGCCAAGTGCATCCTGACCATATCTGTGTCTGGCCTGTCTTCACTCTTCCCCAGGGAGCCACAACATTTCCGTGGTCTCTGAAGGTCTGTTGAGAGTTTCTGGAACAAAGAGTTTGAAAACTTCAGAGGAAAAACTGCTTTGGTGAGTCTGACTTTTCATGGGAAGACCAAGGTGCCTCTGAAAAGGGGGCAAAGGCCCAGCTTGCAGGCTGCCTGCTGATTGCGTTATGGGAAGGGCAATGTGGGGAGCAGTGGCCTGAAAAGATGGCGGGTTTGAAGGAGGAAGGCTTTGTTTACTTCAGAGGGACTGACATTTCTCCAGGCCGAATCTACCCACAACTCCTTCCTGTTCTATTATTTTGAATTGCATCTTTTGCGGACAGAGAGAATCCTTGACTTTTTAGAAGTAGAAAGCTCCTTTTCCACCCAATACAGGAACGCAGGCAGAGGGGTTTGAATCCTAGGGGTTAATGTTACAGTGTACGAGTGTCATATTTCTTCATGATTCTATACATTTTCCTCACGAGGACTGTCTGCGCTGGGGAACCTTGATGCGTGATGGTTGGCAAGTTCTGCACCTCATTTCTAGTCACTGCTTCAGGCGCGGGTTGATCGCTTTAGTTCCTTAGAGATCACTAACCTTGTTCATCCATCTCACTTGTATCTGATGTTATTTTAATGAAAGAGATGTGGGGTTCAGAGAGCAGTTCTTAAGTAAAATCCGAGAAAAGTTTCAGTGGATCTCCCCTTTCAGCAGCTTTCGGGCAGTCTCCCCATGAGACAAAAGACATTTAGTTATATCCAAAAGGGCAGGTTTATTATAAAGGACACTTGTGAGGTCAGTTTTGGAGATCTTGTGTTTGAGAATGGGGTCCTTGGGTTGACGCTGGGAAAAGCTTCACCAGAGCTCCCCTTTCACGGCACTGGTGAGTTTCTCCCCAAGACAGAAACGTCAGTTATATCCAAAAGGGCAGGTTTATTATAAAAGGGAGAGAAGAATAAAGGACATTTGCTTGTGATGGAGGACAGGAATAAAAAAAATAAACTAACAAGGATGCGCCACAAGACCAGAAACCTGCTCACACAAGGTGGGGTAGAAGGGATTAGCATTGCCATTGACACAGCTTTAGAATCTGAGAGCCTTAGTTGCCAATGCCTGGATTACAAAGTGTAAGACCCAAGCAGGTTTCAGGCTGCTGTAGGGAGTGTCCAGAGCACAGCCCAAGGGTAAAGATAGGCAGATTGAGCCCATTGTGCCATCTCCTGCCCCTTTCAAATTCTGCGGAGTTGTCCAAAATCAGCAAAATAGGGAAGCCTCCCAAGGAGTGAGCCCCCCCCAAACAGAAGAAGCCTGTATCAGTGCAGTCTCTATACAGGCTCAGGGCCTCTGCCCACCTGTGATTATACAGGAGATTCTTTTCACCAGCTCTCCCCTGCAGAGCAGCAGCCTCCTGCCTGCCCATGACCTGCACCATACCTGGACTTCTCTTCACTGACTTCCCTCAGCAGAGGCAACTCTCCACAAGGCTGCCCGCCTGCGACCATGCAGGCCTCTCTCTGCAAACCTGATTCTTTCGGGCAGCTCTTCGTGCCGCTTGTGTCTGTACAAGTGTCCTTTATTCTTCTGACCCTTTCCCTAATAAACCTGCCCTTTAAATATAACCAATGTGTCTGTGCCATGGAGAATCTTGCCTGGGAAACCCTCTGGTGCTGCTGAAACGGGAGCTCTGGTGAAACCTCTCCCAGAGTGAACCCAGTGACCCCGCACTCCAAACCCACTGACTCCAGAAACGACATCACATAGACACAAGCGGGCAGAAAGGGCTGCCCCGAAAGGGACAGGTTTGCTGAGAGAAGCTGCCTAGTCACAGGCCCCAGCCTTGGGAGGAGCGGCCTCTGCTGCTTTGCAACTTTGCAAGGGAGGTCAATGAGAGAATCCTGAAAAGACAGTAACTGGTTTCAAGCGAGGAACATACATATTGTGGTCACACTAGAAGAGGGCAGGCAGCAGCAACCATAAGCCACACTCCCTAGTTGAGAGCATCAAGGATCCTGCTTTATGAGGCTCATCAACTGATCCACGTGTTGCAGAGAAGAGTTGGGGAGTGGGTGTAAGGGGCAGGACAGGGCACAAGGCAGGTTTTCTGATCCCATGCAGATCGGGTAAAGGAGGGGTCAGAGTCCTCAGTAGTTTTGCAGGTTTTTATTTGGGGTTCACCAGGCATATGGCAGGCAGGGGTGCTGGCTGGGGGGCTGGGAGGCTGGCAGGCCTCCCAGCCCCAGCAAGTCCTCACTCTATCTGGGCTCTCTAGCGTTCGTTCTGCTGCTTCTCGGCTTCGGCTGCGGCTGCTGCTGCTGGTGCTGGTGCTGCTGGCGTCCCCCCGTGACGCCGCCTTTAAAGCACAGTCTTAGCTCAGCTGAATCCCATCTACCTATGCCCACACCCTATTCCAGGTGCCCGCCATCAGGCATGCATTCAGGACAAGGATCCATCATCTATCCTGATGGCGGAAGGGCAGAAAAGCCTGACATTTTCTTTACCCTACAGTCCACCCCCTCAGGGTTTTCTGCCATACAGTCTATACAATACAGTATATACAATTTTCTAAGCAAACAAACAATGCAGCCATGGCCACAAAAGCAAATACATCAAATATAACAAAATACAATATAACAAAATACAACAGAACACAAATAAGTCCAGGCAGGGCACCAACCTAGAGCAAAAGACAATTATTGGTACCAGCAGATGAGCCACCAAATCTGCTGCCGAAGGCACTGCTCATACGAGGGAAGGGAATCACTCACGGCATCTACTATAACACACCAGGAGCCGTCAGGCTTCCTGGCCTTCTCTGGCTGTAGTCTCGGCTACAAGGCACACACAGCATCCACCCCCAGGATGCACTAGCTCTGGGATTGGCAATTTTATTCTGTTGGGGGTAATTGCCAACCCTCAGGGTTTCTGTCTGTAGTCGCTCCAACACTCAGCCTTCATGGCCACCCATGCGACTCACAGACTCCTGCACTCAGGCCAACCCACTGCACAAGCACATGGGTCGGGATCCAACTCTGCATTCGGCTTGGGCTCCACCCCAAGAAGCCACATTCCCCACCCGTCCCCCAAGGACAGGTTCCTCAGCTCCTCACCCTCACTCAAGAATGAGCAGGGCATCACCCACAGGTGATTTTACGAGACTCACAGGGCTTCAGCATACCCAGGCTGCTTAACAGCCGCTTAGGGCTTCTCAACTTAGCATCAGTACCAGCTTTTGCCTTCTCAGTTGGCTTTTCTCCTCCACCTGGCTGCTGGGCATAACAGGCTGCTTTTGGCCATCTAGGCCCACTGGCCACCCCCAGATTCCCATCTCCTGGGGTTTACAAACAAAACTGTTCCACCCCAGGGTCCCAAAACATATCAACCTGCAAGGTCCTCCGCCTTCTGGAGGTATTGTCAGTCCTAGTCCATCAGTCCATCAGTTCAAGTCCATTGGCCTCTCCCTGCTTCAGCAATGGCCTGCTGCCTCAGGGGTCATTGGCTGGTCCTTTCTGGTGTCATTGGCTGGTCCTATCCGGTGTCGTTGGCTGGTCCTATCAGGTGTCGTTGGCTGGTCCTTTCCGGTGTCGTTGGCTGGTTCTTTCGGGCGTCTCCTCCATGCGAGGTCTCGTCCCACAGCTCCAGACCGTATCCACCTTCTGTGCCGCCATGGCGCCTCCAGCGTCATCACAGGCAAACAGTCTGTTCTCCTTAGTCCCTCCAGGTCTTCGGAGGGCTCCAGTACCCGTCTGCATGGATCCTGCCGACTTACGCCAATTGTAAAGGCAGGACTGGACACAGTGCAGGTTTTCTGATCCCATGCAGACCGGGTATAGGAGGAGTCAGAGTCCTCAGTAGTTTTTGCAGGTTTTTTATTTGGGGTTCACCAGGCATATGGCAGGCAGGGGTGCTGGCTGGGGGGCTGGGAGGCTGGCAGGCCTCCCAGCCCCCAGCAAGTCCTCACTCTATCTGGGCTCTCTAGCGTTCGTTCTGCTGCTTCTCGGCTTCGGCTGCGGCTGCTGCTGCTGCTGGTGCTGATGCTGCTGGCGTCCCCCCGTGACGCCGCCTTAAAAGCACAGTCTTAGCTCAGCTGAATCCCATCTACCTATGCCCACACCCTATTCCAGGTGCCCACCATCAGGCATGCATTCAGGACAAGGATCCATCATCTATCCTGATGGCGGAAGGGCAGAAAAGCCTGACATTTTCTTTACCCTACAGTGGGTCAGAGTCTGGGGGGGATGAAAGACTTCACCAGAGACAGACTAGAGAGCAGAAAAGGAGAATTTATTGAAAACACAACTGAGAGTGTTGTGGAGCAACCCCGATATAAAACGGGGTGCCTGACTGTGGGTCCTCACCCGGCGCTTAAAAGGACTTATCAATGTTCTACTGCAGGCACACGTGAAAGGTTAATAAAGGTTTATTCACAAGGGAAGGGGAAATGAGGAAATGTACAGCTCAGGGAGAAAAGTGGGAGACAAAGTTTTAAATGCGTCCTACCCGATCCGCTGATCTGGAATCCCAAAGGGCACTCTGAGAGCTGGCCGCAAGCCAGGAGCCATGAAGCCAGGAGGCGAGCTACAGCGAGCGCCCCAAGGCCCACGTTTCTGGTTTTTATACCCAACCTGGCTGCTTAACTCCACTCTGGGGTCCCAGCCACCTTCCCTTTGGTGGTGACGGGATTTGTCTTTCCCAATGTCTTGATGGCTTTGGTCTGGAGTGGGGGTGGGGTCCACAAAACCTGTATGGGATTAGTACAGGACATCCTTTCCCCCTAGAGAGGACCAGGGGGCCAGATGAGGGCCTGAGGCTGTTTCTACTCTAGGCACCATTGATTGGTTGGGTGACTAGTCTTGGGTGTGTCCTGACTCTGCATCTGGATCCTCAGCTTAACAGCCCAGTTCCCGGGGCCAGCCCACCCACAGCCTTATCCAGTCAAGCCTCCCCAATTTGCCTGTTGAATGAGGGGGGAGGGCCTAATTTTTAACTTTAATAATGGCACCACACCATAAAGCAATATCTTTGTGGGCCCAGGGTAATGCCATCTGCACATTCCATAAAACCAGATATTCAGCCAAGGGTGGCTGGCTCCCGGACTCCACAGATGACTGATTCAACTAGAAAATAAATGTCTTCCTTTTCTGCCTAACTCTGGTCTTCAAGGTGATTCTTTCCTCATGGAGATGAGGATCAAGTTTCATGAGTCCAGGAACTGCATTTCCTTGTCTTCTTCCTTTTTTTTTTTTTTTTAAAGATTTATTTATACATGCATACAAGAATTTTGGGCTACAAACCAGAGGTGAGGGGTGAGAGCATTCACCAAAGACAGACTGAGGAACAGAACAGGAGGATCTCATGAAATACACTGCTGAGGGGGACCAGTGGGTGAGACGGGAGAGGTCTGCACTATGTGAGTAGCTGCCTGGACCGGAGATGAAACTCTGCTGCAGTGGCTGCAGATAGCTTCATAGTGCTGTGCTGGCATCACAAGGGAGATCTTCCCCTTTTTTTTCCTTAAATATTTTATCTTATCTATCCTTGTTTTCTATACAATTAGAATTGTATCCTGGCTTTCTCATGTTCCAATACAACCTTCTCAAATATACAGGGATCTGTGAGCAAGAGACACAAGCCAGGATAGTGAGCAGCAGGGGCAACAGCTATGGCATCAAACATCTTAGTGAGCATCCAGGAGGAGGTGACCTGCCCCATCTGCCTGGACCTCTTGAAAGAGCCCCTAAGCCTAGACTGTGGCCACAGCTTCTGCCGAGCCTGCATCACTACAAACAACAAGGAGTCCACGGCAACCCAGGAAGAGAAGAGCAGCTGCCCCGTGTGCAGAATCAGTTACGAGCCTGGGCACCTGCGACCTAATCGGCATCTGGCCAACATAGTGGAGCAGCTCAGAGGAGTCAAGATGAGCCCAGAGGGGGAGCAGAAGAAAGAGCTCTGTGTGCGCCATGGAGAGAAACTCCTGCTCTTCTGTAAGCAGGATGGGCAAGTCATTTGCTGGCTTTGTGAGCGGTCTCAGGAGCACCGTGGTCACCAGACCTTCCTCATTGAGGAGATTGTCCAGGAGTACCAGGTAGGAGAGCAGAATACAGTTAAAACAGCAGAATATATAGTTGATGGGAAATCTCCTCCTGGTTGCCTGGTCACCGTAGCTCAGAGGTATGTGATCTCCTTTCTTCCTGTGGTGTTGATACAGGGGAAGATTTCCTCACTCCTCTAAGTTCTGGAATTGGATGAGAAAGGAGATTAATGTCAGACAGATTAGGAGAAAAAGACCACATTTAATAACGTACACATGGAGATTTTACATGACTGTAAATACTGAAATAAAATGGAATAGATCCAGTGTTTATTTATTTTTAAAGATTTATTTATTTATGCATTCAAGAACTGGGGTACAGACCAGAGGTGTTGCGGGGGTGAGAAGATTCTCCAGAGACAGAGTGGGGAACAGAACAAGCAGATTAACCGAAATACACTGCTGAGGAGAGCAGCGGGTGAGACAGGAGAGGTCTGCTGCACCATGTGGATCATCTCCCTGGCAGGGGTGAACTCATGCTGTAACAGGGTGGTCCCCAGGAAAGGGGGAGGTTCCCTGCCCACCCAAGGGAGGGTGGAGCTGAGCAGGAAGAGGAGAAGCGGCAGAAGAGACTGAGGAAGGAAGCAGGATGGAGCCAGGAGACCTGGAGGAGGCACATGAGCCTAGAGACACGTGAAGAAACTGCGCTTGTCTTTTGGTCGTGGACGGGGTGACACAGATGTGGGTGAGACCCATGGGGAGGTGACAATGGCAGCTTTTATCTTGATGTTGATTTTGCTCTTTTCCTTCCGGGCTTGTCCAGTTGTTTGTGACCCTTTTCTGTGGGTCTCCACTGGAAGATGCTTTAGACTTGTGGCAGGCCTTGGGGCCTTGCTCTGGGCCAATCCCATATGGATGGACTTTTACCCACGAGGGACGGGGTAACTTTGGGTGCTTCATTTAGAAACTAGACTCTTTGCCTTACCTGTGTTGTTTCCTAGTTTTATTAAAGTTCCTTCCCATTAAAGTCTCCTATGTTTTGTGTTGATGCGGCGGATGGCAGAACCCATTTAGAATAGGCAGGTTTGTGGGCTTGGGCTGCCCCTCTCCCTGTCCTATAACAATGCCACAGTGGCTGGGGATGACTTGATAACCCTGAGACTTTAACCCCTGTGCCACGGGGGAGGCCCAGATCCAGTATTTATAACCTCTGTTAAGGATGGGTTAGGAGCCTTGGGTGTCGAGGGAAGAGGGGGTCTCTGGGACCAGGAGGGGACAATTTCATGTGATACAACCTTGCCTTTCGATATTTGCCTTGCCTTGAGATAGGTTTTTCCGTAAAAAGTTTTTTTTTTTTTAAATTTATACAGTATTTATTTGTTTGTTTGTTTATGCAAGCACTGGGTACAGTCAGAAGCGTGGGAGGGTGAGAGAATTCACCAGAGCCAGAGCGGGAAGCAGAGCAGGCAGACAGACTGATGTAAATGGCTGAGGGGAGAGGCGGGCATCAGGAGAGGTCTGCATGCCATGTGGGACCCTCATTGGTGGCCAGGGAACGAACCAGCGCTGCAGAGGCTGCGACAGCTTTGCAGCCCAGCGCTCAACTGCTGTGCCACCAGGGGCGACCCTTTCCCGTAAAAAGTTTTTTTCTGGCATGCCGCACTGATGGCGTAGGGGTTTCTTCTCAGCCCTATCATCACAATGGTCTGAGTTCGATCATGGGCCAGGGAGCTGACCCACACATGGCACAGCAGACTTCTGTCTCGCCCACTGCCCCCCTCAGCAGTGTATTTCAGCCAATTCTCCTGTTCTGCTCCCCACTGTTTCTGGTGAATGCTCTCACCCCCTTCACCTCTGGCCTACACCCCAGTTCTTCTGTGCATAAGTACATAAATAAAAGTATTTCTAGAGATGTTGCTAAGTCTAGGTCATCTCTTTAAGATAACGCTTCCTCATGAGACTCACAAAAATTTGATTTACCTTAGTTCTACCTAATAAGAGGACACAAATTGATTTTTTCTGCTTGAAAAAAGGCTATCTAAACATTTTGGGGGAAGAGAAACACTAGGCTTATTATAGGACAGGGAGGGGGCAGCCCAAACCCCGCAAACCTGCCTATTCTAAATGGGTTCTGCCATCCGCCGCATCAACACAAAACATATGCGACTTTAATGGGAAGGAACTTTAATAAAACTAGGAAACAATACAGGAAAGGCAAAGAGTCTAGTTTCTAAATGAAGCACCCAAAGTTACCCGTCCCCTCGTGGGTAAAAGTCCATCCATATGGGATCGGCCCAGAACAAGGCCCCAAAGCCTGCCACAAGTCTAAAGCATCTTCCAGTGGGGACCCACAGAAAAGGGTCAGAAACTACCAGACAAGCCCAGAAGGAGAAGAGCAAAATCAACATCAAGATAAAAGCTGCCATTGTCACCTCCCCACGGGTCTCACCCACATCTGTGTCACCCAGTCCACGACCAAAAGACAAGCGCAGTTTCTTCACGAGTCTCTAGGCTCCATGCGCCTCCTCCAGGTCTCCTGGCTCCATCCTGCTTCCTTCCTCAGTCTCTTCTGCAGCTTCTTCTCTTCCTGCTCAGCTCCACCTCCCTTGGGTGGGGCAGGGAACCTCCCCCTTTCCTGGGGACCACCCTGTTACAGGCTCACCTCCCAAGGTGGTGGACATTTCTGTGCCTCCAGCCTGATTAAAAGAGACTAAATTAGAGTCAGAAGTAGATGTTTCGAACCATGTGTTAAATGGGGGGTGGTGCTAGTGCCATGAAAATCCACCATTCCCTTTCCATATGAAGTGTAACCAAGAGACTAGGTAGATTGAGATTTGTTTGTTTGCTGCAGGATCAAATTTCTCTTCTAGGACAAATAGAATCATCCTGTTTGAGGAAGGGATGGTGACTTCTCTCAAACTTCTGCCTGATTTAATACGTTCACACTTCAGATTTTCTTCTAAGTTGTAGGTCCTCATTGATATTTTCAGTTTCTGTGACTCTTATGTTTAGAGATCATCTGATTACTTCCTCCATGACCTGTATTCAGATGTTGAGAAAGCCCATTGCTTGACCCTGGCTTAATTCCCCTCTCACAGGAGAAGCTCCAGAGAACCCTGGAGCAGATGAGGGAGAAGCTGCAGAAAGCTGGACATTTGGAAGCTCAAGTCACAGAAAGGAGAATTTCCTGGAAGGTAGGAGGAGGCTCTTTCTGAGGAATTTAGACAGAAATCTGGTAGAATTTGGGTGATAACAGGAGGAACTTCCTACCCTTTTGTTATCGGATCATTAACAATCCCACAGTTATTTGATTATCCTTCTCTTCATTTCCCTGATGGAGGAGGGGATTGAAAAGTGAACCTGGCACAGATGAATGGGTCTTTGGAGGGAAGGTTCATGTGGAGGACACTGGCCAGGACGGCAGTGCATTCTCTGTTCCAACCCATCATGCATTTGAGTCTTTGACTCTTCTGGGGGATGCCATTTGGCCATGGCTCCTGGTTCTGGGCCAGTGTGCCACTTGGGCAGAGGGTGAGTGGTGCGGTCAGGAGTAGTCCAGCTGTGTGAACATGGAGACCTACCCAGTTGCTCTGTTTGGCTCAGGGTTGGACTCAGTGCTGCAAACTTGGTCATTATTTTGGAATATAATAGAGGGGAAGTAGTAGGTGAAGAGCATCTTTAAGAATTGTTCTCTTGCTCTGTCTCACTTTGCTGTGAGAATTTTCCATTTACAGTGGTGCTGGTTCTGGTTCCGAGTCTCTGCCTGATGGGTTGAGTACCACCTCTCTCTCTTTCTTCTTCCTAAGACTCATATACAAAGTGAGAGACAAGGTGTCCAGGCCGATTTTGCAGAACTGAGAGGTCTCGTGGACTCGGCAGAGCAGAAGGAGCTGCAAAAACTGAATAAGGAGGAAGAAGTCATTCTCCATAAACTGGCAGAGGATGAGAGTGAGCTCGTTCAGCAGAGCCAGTTGATATCAGTTCTCATCTCAGATCTGGAGCATCGATTGGAAGTGTCAGACATAGACATGCTGCAGGTAATGTTACAGGACAGGGAGAGGGGCAGCCCAGACCCCGCGAACCTGCCTGCTCTAAATAGGTTCTGCCATCCCCGCATCAACACAAAACATATGAGACTAATGAAAAGGAACTTTAATACAATTAGGAAACAATACTATGGGGATCCATGCTACTCATGTCATCTGACAAAAGTCCGGGCATGGGGCAGATTTCTGAAAAATCAGGAAATCTCGTTAGCTGACTCCAAGATTCTCCTCATTTATTAATGGCTAGTTTCTACCATTGCTAAAATACGCATTTAAAAGTAAAACTGCAAAATACTGATCAATCACTGAATAACCAATTTGATGACAAATGGCACTGCATGATGCAAATATTACATTTTTTATAAAATTAGTAGTTCTCTGCCAAAAGGCAGCAATTCAACATTTGGCCTTACATTAACAAGTGAAAAAACTTATGGGAACAAAAGGCTGTAAACATCCCTTGGCCAAGTCTTTTAGTATGGATATGTGGGCTTTTGAGGCAAGGACTAATTGCAGAAGGAAATGATTTTACTTTAAAATTAAAAATAACAGTTGAGTGGCAGAGGTGAGCCAGGCTCCAAGTATAAGAAAACTCCTGATAAGCCAGAAGACGCCATAGTCGACTCCTACTAAATTATTCCTGTTTATTCAGGGCTAATTCCCATGGATGTAGAATTGGTCTGGTAGCTGATAGAGTATACATTCAAGAATAAATCAACAGCAATTTTGTGACTGGTTAAGCTAGCTATAACCATCTTTGGCCTTGCCTCTGATAAAATATTTGTAATTCCTTACAACCACAAACAGCAATAAGCACTCTTACAAAGTTAGGAATTTTCCCTTAATCTTAAAGTTAGATTCTGAAACTAGGCTGACTAGATAAGTAGAAGAGTAATAGGTAGAAAACTCTTTGTTTAGATTAGGAGAATTCCTCCCTTAATTGAGAGCTGGGGGCTAGGGAAGAGTCAGGGCGGCTGGCCTGGCATTAACGCCCTCCAGGCCCTTGGTTCCTTAATATCCAATCAATATTAAAACAATATACTATAGATGATGACTTCTATATAAAAAAGACTTCTGTTTTTTGCTCTAATCAATTAGTTATATGTTAGTCTAAACTTTATAGATTAGTTAGAAAAAAATCCCTTTGTCTCCCTTCCCCAGGTAACTTCCTGCCCTTTGTTTCTCCTAGCCCTTAGTTAATCCCTTCACTATAGTAAACATAGAAATGTTAGTGCAGCCACTTAAGCCTTTTGCTAGTAATAAAATGACTGGTTGTTTAAGATAAATGACTATTCTGAGAAAGTTTTGGTTTAGCTAATGTGCCTCCTTTAAATAAAAAAATAATAAATGTCACAGCCTCTGCAAAAGCGTAAATCAACCCTTGCTGCTCTGGGAAAAGATGTGACTGTTATCTTCCCTAATGCATATGCTTAGGCACTCTCCCAGTTTGCTTGAAATGTATAAATAAAGGGCTGCTGAGACTCAGTAGGACAGTGACTGCACCCTGACCTAGTGTCTGCATCTCCTCATTCCCCCTTCCTTATCATTCTCTATAATTGCGCCAACGCCTTCCCATCCTTCAGGAACCACTGACAGCCAGAATGCTGCAGTGGACTCGCAACACAATACAGAAAAGACAAAGAATATAGTTTTCAAATCAAGCACCCACAGTTACTATCCCCTTGTGGGTAAAAGCCCACCCAAACAGGATTGGCCCAGAGTAAGGCCCCAAAGCCTGGCACAAGTCCAAAGCACCTTTCAGTGGGGACCCACAGAAAAAGATCAAACCACCAGACAAGTCTGGAAGGAAAAGAACAAAACCAAAATCAAGGGAAAAGCTGCCACTGTCTGTCTCCTCCCCATGGCTCTCTCACCCTCATCTCTGTCACCCAGTCCACGACCAAAAGGCAAGCGCAGTTTCTTCACGTGTCTCTCTGCGCCATGTGCCTCCTCCAGGGCTCCTTGCGGCTCCATCCTGCTTCCTTCCTTCTCTTCTCTTTAGCTCCACCCTCCTTTGGGTGGGGCAGGGAACTTGGAACCTCCCCCTTTCCTGGGGACCACCCTGTTACAGTAAGATCTCAAAAGAAGCCCCAACATCTGAGACATGAGAACCATGGGGGCAGATTTCCCTCCCCTTCTGTATTGCTGTGCTCTTTCTGGTGTGACCCTAAGGTTCTTCTGCTCTGCAGTGTGCTTCCTGCATTTATAGGAATACGTGAATGCATAAATAACAAGGGGAAAACCTCATTTTTATTAATGTGTCAAGTACAATGCAATTGTGTGAGCTTGGAATGAAGATGCATTTTATTCAGGTGTATTTGATATCCCTGTTATTGTGTGCTAGTGTTATGCATTTATTAGTTAAGTGAAGTGATCCAGCTTAGTCCAGATGAACAATATTATTGAGTCTTAACATGCATTTTTCCTCCTTATATGTTGAGTAGAGATTTACCCCTTGTTTTTCTTTTCTCTGAGAATTGTTGAAGACCTGGTATTTATTTGTAATTATTCAATAGAATCCACAAATGATGTTTTATTCTGGCCCTTTTGTGTGAAAGGTTACATATATGTGTATATATAATTATATGTGTATATAACTAAATATATATAATTTACTTGTTTTAATTTTTTAAATAATTTTTGTGTCCATTTTTGGCAATGTGTGTCTTTATAGGAATTTGTCTAAGTTATGTGCTTTGTAGATGCAAAGATACTCATAATAATTCTTTATCATCCCTTCAAGTCTTACAATATTCACTGAAATGTCCCCTTGATACTAAGCAAAACCAAGGGCCTTCACAGGGACTCCAAATAACTCAAAAGAGGAATAACCCATGTTGTCTATTCTAGGGGTTCTTGTTACCTGGTCCATAAAGGCAAAGCAACCCAAATGGTGTGTTGAAAAGATTTTAATTGGTTTGCCAAAGTGCTGGAAGGCAAAAGAGAACAGCAGGTGTAGGAGGGAGGAACTAAAAGTCCCCTAAACAGCAAAAGTTGCAGAAGTAACAAAAGTAGGAATCTGAAGTGGGACCCCCTCCCCCCAAAAAAATACCATTAGGCCCTCCAGAAGCAGGACTGGCAGCCCTCCTGTATTTTTTTTAAATTGATAATATTTATTTTATTTTATTTTATTTTTATATTCCCCATACAATTGCAACCCCCATCTTGACCCCAATCCCTCCTTCCCCCACACCCCAAAGAGTGTCTCTGGTTCATAGTTGTTTGTTGATTTTGATTTTTTTCTTATAGTGATTATTTTTCCTGGTCCCTTATTTAAGTTTTCTAGATTCCTGCTATGAGTGAGACCATCCGGTATTTTTCTTTTTCTTTCTGGCTTATTTTGCTGAGCATGATCCCTTCCAGCGCCACCCATGTTACTGCGAATTGCATGTGTTTATCTTTTTTGAATGCTGAGTAATATTCCATGGTGTATATGTACCACATCTTCTTGATCCAGTCATCTATTTTTGGACATTTGGGTTGTTTCCAAAGCTTAGCTATTGTAAATAGTGCTGCTATAAACATAGGGGTGCAGGTGTTCTTTGGAATTGATGTTTCTGTGTCCTTTGGGTAAATACCTAGGAGTGGAATTGCTGGATCATATGGAAGCTCTATCTTTAGTAGGTTGAGGAATCTCCACAAGCTTTCCATAGTGTTTGGACCAATTTGCACTCCCACGAGCAGTGCACCTCCTGCATTTTTAAAGTGTATGCCAAGGCCCAGTTTCTCTCCTGGATTCTGTCTTGGTGGCCCATGAGATACAGGACTCTGAAGCTCTCCTAGGTGCTTTGGCTGTGTTCCTTCAGAAAGTCACTGCAGTTGTTCCGAGAGCCTGTGTGTCTGTGGTGGTGGGTGGTGTTTGGGGTTGGACGTCAGTGTAGAGAATGGTGGGGAGGTATCCCCATGTGGGCAGAGTGGAAGGCTGTGGGCACTTTGGTGGTTGGAAAACTATGGTGACCAAAATGAGGAGAGAGAGATCCTGTATTGTTAAAAAAATATGGATTTTTAAGAATAATATGAAAAGGAAAGAAGGAGGGAAAAAGAGAACTTGCAGATTGAAATTCTCTGCGGTCCCCATGATAAAAAAAAATCTTTATAGAGTGCTGGGCTCTCTTCTGCCCTGTTTTATTTTTAATTGTGGTGATTTGATTTTTCCCTTTTTTCTTACTTTATGTCTAGTCGACTTTATTGACATTTTTATAGAACAAACTTTTATATTTCATTGATTTCTTTCATGTTCAATCATTTGTTTCTGTTTTCTACATAATTATTTTGTGTGTGTTGTATGTGGTTAGCTTACTGTTTTTCTAGTTTCTTAAAATGGAAATTTAGAAAACATCTTTTCTGGTTTAGTGTTTAATAATATAAATGTATTGCTTTAACTGTATTCCATATATTAGTATTGTTTCATTTTTACTTTCATTCAATCCAATTTATTTTCAACTTTTTTGCAATTTTTTTTCCATTTACCCATGGAGTGAGTGTGTGTGTGTGTGTGTGTGTGTGTGTGCTTTTTTTTTTATTCTTAACTTGCACTAATTTAACAGCTTGGTGAAGTTACAGATGAGACATTCTGAGTACAAATAGTAAATCGACAGCACATATGTGTGAGTAGAATTTAAGGGAATGGATGAAGTCACTTGTAGAGAGAGTTTAGACAGGAAAAGCACCTACATTTTTGTGTCTGTGTGCACCTCATAAAAGGTCATGCAAACTTCTTGAAGAATATTATAATTTTTAAAATTTCCTAAGCCTGGCATAATGCTTGACAAATAGTTGCATACACATTCCATTTCTGCTGAATACATGAAAGACCCATTAATTATTCAGTCATCTTAGAGGGAGTCTGCATTTAGGAAATAAAATCATGGGTTTCTACTCTTCCTTACAAGTATGTCTCATCTCCAGGTACATACTTGACTTCCACAAGAGTCCAAACTGTTTCTACCTCTTGGGAAACCTGACAGCATCACATGAGTTCTGGAATGTCTGGCCTAGGTCTTGTCTTTGCATTTGTCCCTGACAGTGGGACCAACTCTAACTCACCTTATCACGGGGCCAAGGAAATGTGATGAGGCCTTATATGTGGGGAGAACCTATTACTTCTTGACACATGATTTTTTTTTAATTAAATTTTTTTTTCTTTTTCTTCTAGGATGTGACTGACATCATGCAAAGGTATGTGTGGGAGGCCAGCGATGGTCTTTTTGTGCTGTGGAGAGATACTTAATGCTTTTTAGAGTCATCTGGTGTTCACTAACAATGAAACCTCATTGTGGGCAGGGAAACATGGGTATATACTTTTTTCTTAAATTTCTGTTTATAAAAAAATGGGTTGAGAATGGACTAGAGACTATGGAAAGGAATGGGGATGGTAGGAAGCTGACAAGTTTGGGTCAGTAGTAGCCTAAAGATAAAATATTTGACAAATGGTCAATAGGCATATGAAAAAATGTGCAGCATCACTAGTTACCAGGGAAATCCAAATCAAAACTGCAATGAAATACCACCTCACTCTAGGGTGAATGCCCGTACCAAAAAAAAAAAAAAAGGAATCAACAAATGCTGGAGAGGATGTGGAGATAAAGGAACAATATTACAGTGCTGGGGGAATGGTAAACTGGTACAGCCACTATGGAAAGCTGTGTGGAGCTTCCTTAGAACTCTAAAAACTGAACTTTTTGTGATCCAGTGATCCCACTCCTAGGAATCTACCCAAAGAACACAAAAACACTAATTTGAAAGGAAAATTGCACTCCTATGTTTATTGCAGCACTGTTTATTTACCATAGCCAAGAGATGGAAAAAACCCAGATAACCCAAAATTGATGAATGGATCAAAAAGTTGGGATATATTTATACAATGGACTATTATTCAATGATCAAAACAGACAAACATACTACTATTTACAGCAATATAGATGGAGCTGGAAAAGGATTATGTTAGCCAAAATCAGTCAGAAGAAAAAATATAAATACCGATGGTCTCTGTATATGTGGAATATACAGAAAACAAATGAAAGGTGGAGAAAAAGTCAAAACTAGCAAGCTGACCATGGATCTGAGGCATACAACAAAGGAGGATGAGGGAAGGAGGTCAAAATAGGAGAGGGAAAAGTACAAGGGGATATGGTGACGATTCACAAGTGATACAGGGATCGAGAACCGAGGGAACTACAATAATATAAGAAAAAAATTAATAACAAAAAAAAACTCAAGCCTTTGAGTTTTCAGACCTCTGTAACCTCATAAATTTTATTCACTCTGTGTGCTTATATCTAGGGTTCTTGCATGTCATAGGCGCTTGACTTTTATAGGGGGAAGCCCAGATCTTTTTCTGCCAAGCACCCAGAATTAGCAACAGTACCTTTATATCTATAGTTCATCGACTATCTCGTGGGATATTTGGGCCCTGCTGTAAGAAAGTGATTCATCTCCTCACACACTCTGGCCCCAAGTATCAAGAGGCTGCATCTTACTTTAAATTCATGCCTGCCTGGCAGCATCGACCTCTTTCTGAAACACATAAAATCCCGACCACTGTTCGGCTGGAGATCATCATGTATTCTATTCCAAGTGTTTGCAATTGTTCTCAATTGCCTGAGTCTTAAATGTTATTCTGAGGGCCTCCCTAGTGGGGAGTAGAATTTGAAATCTTGGTTGTCTCCAGGGAGTGTTCCCAAACTTGATGTATCTCAGACACTCAGGAGCCAAGTTCTGGAGTCTTCCTTTCTGTTTTTCTCTCTGGATCCCAAATGCATATAGTGACTTTTCTACACATTCCTTTTTTTTAAGGTAATAAAGTTTATTTTGTCAAATCTGTTATTACACATAATTCATATGGTTTTTAGCAAGTAGAGGGATAGATATTAATTTAACTTTATAAGGAAGAATCTGCTCTTGAGAGGTCAAGACCTTCCCAGAGTCACAAAGAGGTAGACATCAGCCCATTTTTTTCTGACTCTGAGGTCAGCATTTACTCTTTTTTTCTCATAGTTTCCAGGTAAGAGTTCAAGTGTATTCCTTGGAGTGAAGAGATAAGATGTCAGTAGTTTCGACAGGACAATGTTAGAGGTGTGGGGAATCTATGTTTCTCATTCTAGGTGTTGGGATTTCACTCTGAAGGAGCCAAAAACTTTTCCCAAACAACCAAGACGTTTGTGCCATGCTCCGGATCTCAGAGGGATACTGCGAGGGCTTGCTGGTGAGGCGGGGTCAGCCGGTTGGGCAACTGTGGGGTGTTGCAATGGCAGGGACCAAGTGAGGAAGAAACGCAGCTTTTAGGTGTGGACGGTGATGCTGGGGGCACTGGAGACCGTGGTTGAGGAAATGTCCTGTTGAGTGGGGATTGGCCAGGAGTCAGCACTACCCTTATTTACCAGTTTACTCCCTGCCATAGTTCCAGGAACTTCCCTTAATCTGGAGAGGAGATAGAGTTCAGTGTTGTGTCCTTCGCTTAGATTTACCAGTTGAGATTTTGTTTTTAATCATTTCAGACCTGGCGAGTGTGCGATGCTACTGGGGTAAGGATAAATCTTCATGTCATCAGACATCTCTATTCTATTCACTTCATCTCTCTGAATTTTTTGATTTCTAATAGAACTCATATTTTAAAACTACTATGCCTCGTTCTAATACATAGACTGATTCTGCAGTGTTTTATTTCTCCCTAAAATCAAAATTCTTTCCATTTCCTGCTAAGTTATTCTCATGATTCTTCTCACAATGTCATGTATAAGGACACTTCCTGTCCCTCACCCAAACCTTTAATTTTCTGCAGTTGATGTCACCTTGAATCGGACCATCAGTGAACACCACGTTGAAATTTCTCTAAATAAGAAACAAGTGAGATATTTGTTTGAGAACTTTGGAGTTAGACATGTGAATTGCTATTATGATTATTCTGTCGTGGGATCACCACTTTTCACAAATGGGAAGCATTACTGGGAGGTAGATGTATCCAAAAAAATTTCCTGGATCCTGGGGGTGTGTGGGGAAAACCATTATCAAGCACGCGCACGGCAGTTTGCCGCGAGAGTTGATAAACACACTTTTGTACCAGATTTTTATGGTGGATTACAGCCTGCGTATTCCATATGGGCTATAGGGTTATTGAATGGATCAAGGTATCGTGCTTATGATGAGGACACTCACTCCAAGAAACCCAAGATCTTGTCTCTTTCCATGACCGTCCCTCCCAGTCGTGTTGGGGTTTTCCTTGACTATGAGGTGGGCACTGTCTCCTTTTACAACATCACAAACCATGGGTCACGCATCTATGAATACTCCAAGTGTTGCTTTCCTAAGAGAATTCTTCCATATTTGAATCCTCTGAATTGTGAATTCCCCATGACTATTTGTGAACCAGGCCCTTGAGCTTCTTGATCCTCATGCACTTCCCTGGAGTGCCTTTTGCCTTGGGGGCATCTAAGGCGCTGAGCTTATTTCCAACATTCTGCCACCTTTTCCTTGCTGCCTCCTTTCTTTTGCATTTTGACATCCTTTATTAATCAACAGGGTGTATCACTTGCCTTGTGTCAGATTTTTTCTAAATATCATGCACATTAAGAGAGGCTCTTAATTTATCATTTCTATTCTCCTGAGGAAACATCAGGCCTCCTGCCCTCTGTCAAGTGTTTGCGATCTCATTTTCTCTGCCACTGACTGAGAAAATGAAGGTGTTAAGTAGTAAATATCATAAACGATAGGTGCTAAGAGAGGAAGTGGTGTCCAGAGTGTTTTTTTTTTCTATTTTTTTTAAAGATTTATTTATTTATACATGAACCGGGGTATAGGCCAAATGCATGGGAGGGTGAGAGGATTCACCAGAGACAGACTGGGGAACAGAACAGGCAGGCTGACTGAAATACACTGCTGAGGGGAGCAGCGGGCGAGTCAGGAGAGGTCTGCTGCGCCATGTGGGATTCTCACCCCCTGGCCGCAATTGAACCAGCGCTGCAGGGTTTGCGGACAGCTTTACAGTGCGGCACTCAACAGCCTGCGCCACCAGGAAGGCCCTCAGGGTATGTAAATTCAAGTCTTGTCACTGCACATACCAGCAGTTTAACCTGGAATAAATAATTAAATATTGTATAAATTTTCTTCATTTTTATTTTTTTTTATTATATACATTTTTTACATCATTTGTCATTTTTGCACAATGTGTGCATTTTCATCTTGGTTATAGTCCCCATACAATTCCCACCCCCCTTGTTTTGATCCTACTTCCTCCACTCCCCCCCCTCCCCAGTGTGTCTCTGGTTTATACTTGCTTCTTGATTTTTCTTAAGCTAATACTAGTCAAAAAAACCACAACTGCCCCACATTGTGAGAAATGAAATTGCTACATAATGTGATCTTTGTAAAAATGGAGGTTTTGTGTGCCCTGCCTCGCCTATTAAAGGGCAGAGCTAGTGGGGAGGAGAAGCTGAAGACAACTGGGAGGAGATCCCCAGAGGGGAGACTGGAGGAAGCTTGTGGAGCAGAGACACATGAAGAAGGAGGCCTGCTCGCTTCTCAGCTTTGGACTTGCACCGTGGACTTGGGGGACACAGAAGGGCCCGTGGAATCTGAGACATGGAGAGACACTTGGGAGAGGGATGGTGGGTGGAGGTTGGCAATGGCAGCCATTACCTTGATTTGTACCTTATTTTGCAGTTTTTCTTCCAGACTTGCTTGCCACCTGATGCCTATTTTCTGTGGTTCCTTGCCAGAAGGTGCCTTAGACTGGTGGCAAGCTTTGGGCTTCAGTGGCCTGCTTTGGGCCAATCCTGTTTGACTGGACTCTTACCTTCAAGGATTGAATAACTTGGGATGTTTTATTGGAAACTGTTAACCTTTTCATCTTCCTATGCACAGTATCCTATTCTTTCATGCTAAGAATATGTATTGGTTTTCTTTCAACAGGGTTACTCTAGTTTTGTTTTAAGAAATAGGACTTGATTAAATATTACATGGTCTTTGAACTTTAGCTAAATATGAAATAAATGGTTCTGTATAGCCCGAGGTTCTTAAGTTTTTCATTTACCTGCAGTAATTCTATTTCATGGAAATTTTGAATTTGAGCTCTTTTTACTCAGCTGCTGCTTCATTGAAAGAGTCAGAGTACATTTATGGGATTTAACAATGGTGTCAATAAGTGTTTGCCCTGGTAAGCCTAACTTTTGCAGTTACGGACATTATTGCAGAGCTTCAGGCTTTGTGCCTGTGCTTCCTGTGATTGGAGGGGAACTGTTTCTGAGATAGATGATGATTTAGGGCTTGCTGGAATCCTGGTGTCTTAGGGTATTTTTTTCTCAGCTCATTACCACAGAGTTCAGGTAGAAATAAAAATGCATTGTTGGTCAGGTAATAACTGCTTGCCCTCGGAATTCCCCCCTCACCATTTCTGAATGACTTTCGATAACACAGGTTCCAAGGTAGAAAGTGTTTCTGTGTGTGTGTGTGTACCTATATTTTGGTATGCATTTGTGGACACAGGCAAAATTGATCAAGGTTTTTCCTTTGCTTTTGCCTTTCTAACACTCCATTGCTCTGACTATGAAGTCTGTGCCTCACTAGAAAACAAATCTGTACTCTGGAATTATTAACAATGGTCTCCATTTCCTGGAATGCCCACTCCTCCAGTTCAGAATGAAGTACTTAGTTACAAGGAAATAAAAACGTGAATTTCTATATGCAACTGAAAAGAGCTATATATTGGAAGGTTTCTACTTTTTTGTTTTGTTTTCTTTATTTTTTCTTTATTTTTATACAAGGGCTGGGGTACAGGCCAGAGGTGTGGGAGGGTGAGAGGATACACCAGAGACAGAGTGGGGAACAGAACAGGCAGACTGACTGAAATACACTGTTGAGGGGAACAGTAGGCCAGACAGGGAGAGGTCTGCATAGGACCTCAGAAACCCCCAGCAATAGTCATACCATCTTCTATTTCTGGGCCAGGACTGTTCTGGGACCTTCATGAGCAGAAAAAGTATTTACATGGGAAAGTTTGGCTGCACTCAGGCTAATATCAGTACACAAGAAATCTCCCTGCAAGATCATCCATGAACATGTGGCGGCATCATTGCCTAAAGTTACTGCCTGAACCAAACAGTTATAAAAGCAAATAGGTTTTCCATATAGGAATTTGGGATCTTCATTGGAAAAAAAATATGCACTCACTAAATATGGAATTTCAATGGCGTGCTAATTTCAATGGCGTGCTATATTCAACTGCTTGAGGGCAGTTCCGTGCAGCACTTCATCCTGACTGCTTTTCTTTCATGATGTACAGACAGGTCAGTTTTTAACTCTAGCAGCTCCTCCATATTCCACACTACTACACTAGGCACTGTGTGCTAGCTGAACTCTTATTTGTCTCCCTGTGGTGGGAAATTGGATGATTGCTTTCCCCTTTAGTGTTTCTCAATCACTAAAAAAAACTATACATATTTTCCTGGCATCTGAAAGTAGAGAATTTCCTATGAAACTTTTAGTAAGCCAAATGGGTAAAGCAAAATAGTCATATAATTTATAAATATAGAATATGTTTTGAGTATTCCCAGACCCAACAATACCTTACCACATCATGGAAAACAATAAAACATAAAACAACACAGCAATAGCAGGAGTAGTATGATAAATACGTGGCCTGTATGAAGAAGAATAGTGTGTGAACAGTGTAGTTTCAGTCAGGAAGGCAGTGAGCACACTGGAAGGCTGAGTCACTAGAGGGTGGGGTGGTGGCAAGTACAAGAGAATGGGTGTAGGAGAAGACCAGGGCCCAATACTGACCAGGGCCCAATACCAGGGCCCAATAATGAATCCATCAGGGTAGGTAGGTCACTAACATCTATACCTTCTTTTGTGTCTGCCTGTCTGTCTGTCATATAGTTCTTTATAATCATTCGAATCTTCCTGCAAACCTACCCTAAATTTTCTATATAGGCTTTCTGCAAAACAAGCCATGAACATAATTTTTGCTTTTTGACTTTACAATCCTATGTTACTAAATTAATCCTTCATAAGATAAAATGGCATAGCTAGAACTTTAGAATAGTCTAGGCTAACTATAGGCAGATTACCCTTTTTTCTAGGGTTCGCTGTCTTTTTTCTTGAAGGTCTTCAGTTGATTGAATTCAGCTCATGACCTATAAGGGGAGTAATCTTCTTCATTTAGTCTACTGGGATAATGTTCCTCTCATCTAGAAAATGCCATTACAGAAAGAATGAGAACAGTGTTTGCTCAAATATCTAGATCATGTTGCTAACCCATAGATATAAGATTAATCACCACAGCCACAGGCATTGAGTAAGTTCTGAGTAAACCATAGGAACAAAGATATGAAACACTGTTGGCTAAAATTTTTCAAAGGCATTTAGATAAATGTTAATATACCAGAATTGCATTATGTGCTACAGCAATTACGTTGACTGCTACAATAGAATAGAACCATGGTTATCATTGGTATGTTCAGTGTAATTAATACGTCTAGCTCTGTGGATGCATAGCTATACATGGCACATGTGGAGTGCTTATGTCACTCCTTATGTCATACCTTTGATCATTGATCTGAAATAAGAAAAAGCAACATAGAAAAGATTCCTTCATAAAACATACCATTGCTGGGTGAAGACTGCTTGAGAAGGGATACTCCACAAGAGTATTATGTGACACCAAAAGAGAGAGGAATAAATGCCAGCTCCCAGAATGCAATTCATGCAAAATTTAGAGTATACCATTATACTTGAAAGACATCCCAAGTTCCTTTGTTTTCAGAACAAACTTTATTCATATTGAGAAACTAAAACTGAATGTGCTCAGTGGTTATGCTTAAGTGATTTTCAATTCCTGACTCATAGACATAAGGGAGTAGAAAGTTTCTGAGATAAGAGAGCTTACTCTTTTGTGGGGTGCAAACAATACTGAAATATCTGTGATTTAACTAAAAATCAACTTGTTGCTGCTCAACAAGTCTCTCATCACTGGATGTGTGAAGATTGCCAAGCTCTGCATTCCTGGCACCGTGGACCCTGTGTTGGAAGCTTCCACCATTTTCAGCTAGCACATGTAGTCAGAGCATGAACAAGACAGACAAAGAAAATGGCAGGAAAGAATGAGTAGGAAAAGTCAGATGTTTCAGTTCAGTTTTTGAATGGCTGGGTTGAAAGGATTGAACTTTACCCAAAGGAAGTGGGGAAAGTAGAAAAATGAAGAGTTTGTCAATGTTACTCAAAGAAGGAAGGTTCTGGAGAAGCATCATTTTATTTTTTGAAAGGTTTATTTTATTTATTTATTCATGCAAGACCTGGGGTGTAGGCCAGAGGTGCGGGGGATGAGGAGGTTCACCAGAGACAGAGTGGTGAGCCAATAGGTGGATTTACTGAAATATACTGCTGAGGGGAATAGCAGGTGAGACAGGAGAGGTCTGCTGCACCATGTGGGTCAGCTCCCTGGCTGGGGATTGAACTCGTCCTGCAGTGGCTGCCAGTAGCTTCATAGAAGCACCATTTATTAACCTCCGTATTCTGTCCCCTGTCATGTAATCTGGCTTTGGCACACTGTGACAACATTTTTTCTGAAACTCTTCATCTTTTGTCTCCCTGAATTTGGAACAGAAACTGATAATTAATGATGTACCATTTGATGTTGTGGGAAATTTTTTCTCAGTAGACTCACACTGAGGCACATTTTTTAAATGGCATTTCACCTTTCACAATGGCAGTCACTAATACATCATCAGCTTAAATTTACAAACTTATAACGGATCATCTTCCCAATATCTACTCTCTTAATAAACCTTCAAATACACAATGAAGTCATTAGTAATAGTCATAGTGATGTATATTAAATCACATGCATGGTGAATTTTATATAGCTGGAAGTTTATACCTTTTGGTGCCTTTCACCCATTTCATCCATGCCCATGCCCTACCTCTGACAACCACCAATATGTTGTTCTTTACATCTAAATTTCCTTTCTTTTAAAGAGTGAGACCACATAGTATTTGTCTTTCTTTGCCTGATCTATTTCACTTTGAAAAATTCCCCTCTATATGTAGCCTTGTTGTCACAAATGGTAAAATTCATTTCTTCTTACATGGCTAAATGATATTACACTCTGTGTGTGTGATTGAGTGTGTGTTTAGTCATTCTTCCACCAATGGACAATTATGTTGTTGTCATATGAGTATACTGTATTATAAGCAGATCAACTATTTCCATATTGAGACATAAATTCCATGCAATCAAACTAAAACTCTTCGTGTAAGTGTGTGTGTGTTTGTAAATAGAGAATCTGTTTTATAACTCTCAGGGCAATGCATAGTGCAGAAAATGGCTGAGAAATTTTTGAAGAAAACATTGGAGCCTCTTACATTACAATATCAAGAGTAGAAAATTTTCATTGTATTTGTACATTATTGGCTTAGTTCATACATGTAAGCTAATTATAAAGCAAGTGCAAGAGAGTCTTTGGGCCTGTAAGAATTTGGTCTCGAATGTGACTGCATTGTCTAGATTGACTTTCCTAGGGATCCAATATTTATAGGTTACTACAACTACCAGGCTACATTTCATATTAAGGGACAGGAGTTAAAATGTTTGATACATCTCCTGTCTAGGAGTAGGAAGTGGAGGGGCCCCTAGAACCTGAATTCTGTCTCCTGAGACTATAAGGAAATGCATACATGTTTTCATCTCATCTCTTCCAGAAGCTTTCCCAGCCTAGAATTTCACTTGTTCCTTTTAAATAGGTCCTTCCTACTACTCCTGTGAAACAAGAGACAGAAGACAGTTTGGTGATAAAGTTTTTTGTCATTACTAGTAATGAGATCTATCTATGAGAGTCACACTCAGTAAAAATTCTACATACGTTTTGTTTGAGTTTAAATCTGTTTCATCTTTTGCAAAGTGTACAGGATGTATACATTCTGAGATTCTTTTTATAATATAAGGTGGAAATTGAAAATGCTCCTAACTTTTATTTATTTATTTATTTATTTATTTATTTAATTTTTGCATAGAAGAACTAGGTTGTAACCA